GGTTTTGGCAGATCCCTTTGGAAGAGAGTAGCAGAAAACTTACTACTTTCATCACGCCATTGGGAAGGTTCTGCTTCAAGCGTCTACCCTTTGGGATTACGTCCGCACCCGAAATTTTTCAGAGACTGATGTCAGAACTACTGAGCGGCCATGATGGAGTAGTGGTAGTGATGGATGATATACTGGTTTTTGGAGCATCAAAAGAAGAACACAATGAACGTCTGAGCAGAGTCCTGAAAACAATCAAAGCAAGTGGGCTTAAACTGAACAAGCAAAAGTGCCATTTTGCCAAGCCAGAAATACGATACTTTGGACACATCATCAGTGCTGAGGGAATGAGACCAGACCCAGACAAAGTCAAGGCCATCACCAACATGCCAAGCCCTACAAATGTGGAAGAACTTCGCCAGGTGCTGGGCCTCATCAATTATGTGGGCCGGTTTATTCCAGATCTCTCATCCAAGCTGCATGCGATCACTGAGCTGCTCAAGAAAGACAACAGATGGATTTGGGACCATGCACAAGAACAAGCTTTCAGAGAGGTAAAGGCCATGCTTGTGTCAGCACCAGCACTTGTGTACTACGACCCAAACCGTGAGACTGTTGTCAGTGCAGATGCCAGCAGTTTTGGCTTAGGAGCGACATTACTGCAGGTTCATGAGGACAAGTTAAAGCCTGTAGCTTTCTGTTCCCGCACACTAACAGACACAGAGAAGAGATACTCACAAATAGAAAAAGAGTGTTTAGCTGGGGTGTGGGCCTGTGAGAGGTTTGCACGTTATGTTCAAGGCATGGACAGTTTTCGGCTGCAAACAGATCACAAACCATTAGTTCCTTTGATAAACACATACGACTTGGACAAGGCTCCACCCAGAGTGCAAAGACTACTAATGCGTCTTCTGAGGTTTCAGGTGGTGGCAGAGCACGTGCCGGGCAAACAAATGGTCATCGCGGATGCCCTCTCTAGGAACCCGCTGAACAACTCGGATGACAGCATCGACAGCACGTGCAAAGAGGTACAAGTTTATCTACAATCTATTCTGTCAAATGCGCCGGCGTCGCCACAAAGGCTGGAAGAAATCAGATCAGCAACACAACAGGATGAGGAGTTAACAAGAGTCATCAGCCTCATACACAAGGGTTGGCCACCAAAACACTCACTACATCTTGCATTGCATGGCTATTTTCCAGCACGATCACAACTCTCAGAGGTTGATGGACTAGTATTGTATCAGGACAGACTAGTCATCCCTGCAGCTCTGAGGCCCGACGTTTTGAACCGCATTCACGAGGGACATCAAGAGTTAACAAAGTGCAGAGCCAGAGCAAAAATGTCGGTGTGGTGGCCTCGCATCAGCAAAGATATCGCACAGGTTGTAAATACATGCAAGTTCTGCATTCAAAACAAGCCTTCACAAAGACATGAGCCGCTGCTCACTTCACCCCTACCAGATGGACCCTGGCAGCGGATTGCAGCTGACCTGTGTGAGTTCGAGAAGCAAAATTACCTGATTGTGACTGACTACTATTCCAGAGACATCGAAATTGGCCGCCTGCCAAGCACCACGAGCAGACAGGTCATTGGCCGATTGAAAAGTATGTTTGTACGATGGGGCATACCACTGGAGTTGGTCAGCGACAACGCAACACAATTCACTTCAGATGAGTTCAAGCAGTTCTGTGGGGAGTATGGATTCAATCACATAACCTCAAGCCCACATTTTCCCCAAGCAAATGGTGCTGCAGAACGTGCTGTTCAGACAGCAAAACACATCCTAAAGCAAGCAGACCCACATTTGGCTCTGATGAGTTACAGAGCGACCCCAAGTACTGCAACGGGAGTGAGCCCAGCAAAGATCATGACGGGAAGACACATTAGAACAACGCTACCAATGCTCAGAGACAAAATGCGGAGCAAACCTGAGAATAAACAAGACATTCTGCAGAAGGACACCCAAACTAAATCATCCTACAGGTACTTCCATGACCGACATCACTCAGCTCGACCTCTACCTGAGTTATTTCCTGGACAGAACGTCAGAGTAAAGTTGGATGGAGAAAAGGAGTGGAAAACTTCAGCAAGGGTCCTTAGCAAATGCGATCAGCCACGTTCATATATTGTGAAAATGGACAATGGGACAGTAACACGCAGAAACAGGAGACACCTACAACCTGTTCCAGATGACACCGCACCACAGGAAATGCAACCAGTGGGCACACCAGCCAAACAGCCCAGCAGCCCACCTCGAGCTGTTCCGGGTGACCAAAGTGTGCTGGATTCAGGACAAACGGTTAAAACTGAAGAACCACCACAGCATGCTACACCAAGGAAGGTAGTGCATGTGACCAGCAGGGGTAGACCGATAAGAGTCCCTCATAGGTACAGAGAGTAACACTGTATTAGTTCAAAAGAAGAAGAGAAAAAAAAGAAAAAACATGTTGTGGAATGCCATCGTTCTGACTTACTGAATGTTATTTGAATAAGTGTTAGATTCGAGTTATGTATCGTACGAAAAAAAAGAAAGAAAAGGTTTTGGTATGCTCGTTTCAAGAATAAGGTTAGTACCAGAAGAGTTGAGTGTTAAAGTGTTCTATTAATGGTGTTTTATTAATGCTAGTTTCGTGAGGGGGAGATGTCATGATGTGTGCCTAACAGGCCACCGTACGGGGCACGTGCCACAGAGACAGACTGAGAGAGAGAAGCCATTGTTTTTTGTATGGAGGATTATTACACATTAAACACGGTTAACTTCTGAGGTGTTTCATTCTTCATTATTGCCGAACACGACAGTGTTCAAGTTTCTTAAAGATGCAGTTACTTTACTTAACTGGGGCAGCAGTAGCTCAACAGGTTGAGCGGGTTGTCCAGTAATCGGAAGGTTGCAGGTTCGATCCCGGCTCCGGACAGAGAACTCTGCTGTTGTGTCCTTGGGCAAGACACTTAACCCACGTTGCCTGCTGGTGGTGGTCGGAGGGACTGGTGGTGCCTGTGCTCGGCAGCCTCGCGTCTGTCAGTGCGCCCCAGGGCAGCTGTGGCTACATTGTAGCTCATCACCATCAGTGTGTGAATGTGTGTGTGAATGGATGGCTGTGTCTCAATTCAGGGTCTGCATCCTACGTCGGCCGGATTCGTCGGCCGGTTACGTCACAGCGCCGCGACTCGGCCTGTCCCAATTCGAAGACTCCTTCAAATGCGGTTGACGAATGCGGCCTTCTTTTCGCCTGAATGAAGGATGGGTCGGGTGTATCCTTCAATAGGTAGCATTTCCCAAGATGCCTTGCGGGCCGCCGGCAGAAAAACTTAAAAACAATGGCGGACAGCGAAGCGGGAGCTGTTGGAGAGGATTTCGCATATAAATGTCAGTATAAACTTGAAAACTGTTAGGTTAAGGACTTTTTGTGATACATGAACGTTATTTTAGTTAGAAATGTTACAGTAAAAGTGCTTGTATTGCGGTCTCGGCTCGTATGTTCGGCCGCACTCGGTGTCGTACTTCTCCCGCTACGTTTTCCCCCTGATTTTAATAGGAGTTTGTATTTTAGGAACAAAAGACAAAACCAGGGAATTTATTAAGCTTAGGGCGGAGATGGACCACATGATCACTGGAGCAAAGTATTCGGCAGCTGTGGCATGGAGGTACAATAACAACTCATATTTTAAAAACTGGTTTCAGTTTATTTTTTTTCTGCGAAAACATGAAAGGAATAACCCGTTGTCCTCTTTTCTCTTCCTGTTTCTTTTCTTACATGTTTGTTAAGACTATTCTGGAGAAAATAGGCATCCAGGGGAAGGTGACAGCGATGACCAGCTTCTGGAGCTGATCAGGGAGGACATGAGGCTGCAGAGGGAGGCAGAGCAGCAGAGGGCACAGGAGAGAAGGGAGAACTTTGACAGCTTTTTACTTTGCTAGAAAAAAATGGTTAATAAAGATTAAACATGTACATATAAATGAAATATCTAAATAAAATCAGTTCTGCATTAAACTTGAATTTTATTTTTGTTTACAAATGAGAATTGTTTACTAGAGGGTATCCGCTGGGTCTTGAAAAGTCTTAAAAGGTGATAAATCGGTTTTGGTCAAATTAAGACCCTTAGAAAGTATTAAAAACTATTATCACATCTTTGCTCAGGCTCAGCTTGTCGAAAGTATTTTCTCTGAATTAGCTCTCCAACAGTCAAGGAAATGATTAAAAAGCTAAATAAAACTTTGAGCTCCATCGTTTAAAGTTCTTTCTCCCTTCTGCTCAGCGGTTCCACGGTTGCTAGGCGACGGAACGTTCGCCGAGGGAGGGGCGGGAATTCTTGAAGGCTAGGCCTGTCCAAATTCACAGCCGTTAACATCTGGTCTACCCGGCCGACGGAGGACCCAGCCCACGTCGGCCGAGTAGGCTGGGTCCTTCGAAGGATGCAGACCCTGAATTGAGACACAGCCGATGAATGATACACTGTAGTGTAAAGCGCTTTGGAGTCCTGACTCTGAGAGGCGCTATACAAGTGCGGGTCATTTATCATTTAATTGTAAAGTTGTTTACTACTTATGGTAGTTAAGTTGCTAAGGTTAAAAAAATAATAAATAAAAATAACCGTACCTTAAGTTCAAATGCACAGTTAACTATACAGGATTTTTGGTGTGAAATATGTTCAGCAAGCATAATAGAAATGTCTTTAGGCAAAGGTCCACTTCCTGATTTTGTTACGTGCAAATAAGATGATGTTGTATTGATAAGTTGTTAGTACTGAGGTAGTAGGATTCTGCGAGAAAGAGGAGAGATGTGTTTACAGATACTGCTAAATAAGTGAAGGATAACTTTAAGTGGGGACTGAGTGCGAAGAGATATCCATGACCAGTAGGGGGCTCTGTGACTAAGAGGAGAGTGGAGAAGAGAGAGTGAGAAAAAGGAAAAAAAGAAGTGTAATGTAATGGTGGACTGAATATGAATACAGTTGAGTAAACGCTGAACCTGTTTATGCCGCCCATCGAAGCACGCGAGGACTCCAGTTCTTTTTACAGATGGCGTTCTTTATTTGTGCCGTTATTGACTAGCAAAGCTAGCATCATGCAGCACCATAAACCACCGTAGAACTACAAACCGACAGAATAAACAATATGTTTACATAAATATAACACATAAATCACAAATAAAGGTTACAAAGTCTACTAACCACTTTGCCTGCTTGTAGCTCCGAATGGGAGGGGAGAAAACAAGTTTTGCTTGCTGTTAGTCTCTTATATTAATCTGAACGTATTCAGCATATATCAGCTTCCTTTCATACGTTAGAAAAAAAATGAGTGCACACGTTAAGCTAACCGGAAGTTGTTGAGAAAGGCAAGTGTGCCTTTCAAAATAAGAGCACGAGCTCCGGTTTCATCAAAAATAAAAAGAAGCATTTTACAATGATGTTTTCACAGCATTCACACTCCCACCAATCACACAAAGTGATTCATTTAAACTATATACAATAACTTGTTAAACAACAAAAAAAAACTACCAACAGTAAACAAAGGCACCTTCTTAAGATAACCCTTTACTCTGCTTCAAGTAATAGCACTGTTTTATGTATGGCTCTCTCTAAATAAAGTGGCTGGGTTGTGTGCTTGCCTCTGTTGTCCAAAAATGTGTTACTAACTAACAGCTTGACCTTTCTAACCCTGTTGTCTGCAGCTGGGAAGACTTCCACTATCCTTGCCAACTTCCACTGGTTTCTTGGCAGGTTGTCGTCCAACAGCAAGACAATGTCATTTACTTTAGCATTCCGTCTCTCAGTAGTCCATTTTCTTCTTTGTTGTAAATTGAGCAAATACTCCCTTTTCCACCTGGTCCAGAACTCATTTGATAGAAATTGAACCCTCCTCCATCTTTTCTGAAGATATAAATCTTCCTTCACAAACTCACCAGGCGGGGGCATGATGACTGAAGATTTCATTGTGAGGATATGATTGGGGGTCAGAGGTTCCGGGCCTGATGGATCATTGAGATGGACAGTGGTCAAAGGTCGACTATTCACTATAGCCATCACCTCATATAAGTATGTCCTCAGTGATGAGCTGTCAAATCGACTTGCAGATTGGTCGAGGATAGAGGTGAGGATACTCCTTACAGTGCGGATCTGCCTCTCCCAGACGCCGCCCATGTGACTGGAAGCAGGAGGATTCATCACAAAGCTGCATCCAAGTTCTTTCACACGTTCCTCTGGTAGTCCTTTCATCATGTTTTGGAACTCATTTGTCGCACCTACAAAATTGGTACCTTGATCACTTTGAAGTTGTCTCACATTGCCTCTTATTGCAATGAAACATCGCAATGCATTCAGGAAGGCATCAGAAGAAAGGTCATCCAATACTTCTAAGTGGATGGCTCTTGAGCACATACATGTAAATATGAGCCCATATTTCTTTAGCTCTTTCCTTCCTTCTCTGACGTAGAATGGACCAAAACAGTCCATTCCACTGTACGTGAACGGAGGTGTACTTTCCATTCTCTCAGGGGGAAGATCGGCCATTTTTTGTTCTTGGTTAGACCTTCTGAACTTCCTGCACTTTACGCACTTGAAGATAAAGGAAGAGACTTCACCATTACACCCAAGGATCCAGAAGCCATTCGCACGAACTTCATTGATTGTCATTCCACGACCTTGATGACACACCTTCTCATGACAGTGCTTGAGTATGAGACGAGAGACATGATGTCCTTTAGGAAGAATGGCTGGGTGTCTGACATGTGGATGAAGTGCGGCTTGGGTCAACCGTCCTCCCATCCTCAAGATACCCAGTCTGTCCAAGAATGGGCTTAGCCTTTGGAGGCAAGTTGACTTGTTCCCTTTGACTTCTTCCTCTTGGCTTAGTGCGTTGATCTGGTAGTGTCCATCCTGCTTCTGCTTTATACTTTCTTTCAGTATTGCAAGGGACCGCAAGTCTTCTTGTGATATTGGAGCTTCTCCACCCTTTCTTTCAGAGAAGTCTGACTCAAAAACCTTTTTCATGTCTGATGGGGAGATAACTTCTTTAACTTGGGTTCTAGCAGAAAAGTGGACTTCTGACTTGAGTTCAGAGGAAGGCATTGTAAGTGGTATGACTTGCTTAGCAATGATATGGTGACTTACACCTATTTCATCTTCATAATCATTGACAGTACTGTTATACCCGACAATGCTCCAACCCAGCACAGACTTGAGTGCAAAGGGTTCATTTTCACTTCCATGGATGACTTCTCTTGGAGCCAGAGCCTGAGAACAGTTATAACCAATTAGCAAACCTACCTCACAATCTAATTCTTGCGACATCTCCTCTGCAAGATGTTCTAAGTGAGGCCAGGACATTGCGGTTTCACTTGTGGGAATATGAGCTCTGTTAGCCGGTATATACTCCCTGGTGTAGCTTACTGGAAGCTTGATCTTAACTTCAGATTTCAAGCCTCTCACTTCCAGACCAGTCAACCTTTCACTGGATACAACCTTTGTTCTTGATGTTATTGTTGACACCTTGAGCTTTACTGGATCTTTCTTGGCATCCAGTGTGTCGGCTACATCCTTCAAGATGAACGTAGTGTCGCTCTGAGAATCGAGCAGAGCATACACTAGTATTTCCTTGTCTGGTTGAGTCAATGAGGACACATAGACTGGAACAATTGGTGAAGTGAGAGTTCCGCCCCTTTCTTGAATAATCCTTAGAGAAGTAGCTCCATCTGACTCAAGTGTTTGCTTTGGTTTAAAACACTTGTCTTTGTCTTGGTTGTTTACCCTCGGTTGATCTTGTTCAGACCCATCCTTGTCATTTTCAGTTGAATGAGTTTGTTTTGGATTATTTTCTTGCTTCTGTTCCCTTTTTTCACGATTTTGATGTAAGCACGTTGGGTGAGGTTTTTTACACGTGTCACATGTACTTCTAGACTTACAGACCTTGGAGTGATGTCCATTCTCAAGGCAACCAAAACAGAGTTTCTCTTCCCGTACAAACTTGACTCTTTCATCAAGTGGTTTTTCGATGAACTTGCGACATTTATGGAGAGTGTGATGTGGCCTTTTGCAGTAAAGACACTTCTTATCTATCCTTTCACTTGTGTTTGTAGTGAATGTCTTAGCACCAACTTTATCTTTTGGAGATCCTCTTATGTCTTGCTCGCTTGACCTTGATTTCTCTCCCTTTAGATTCATAGCCTGCCAAGATGTAACAGGGTGGCAAGCAATGCGAGCCTCTTTGTTGAGGAATGAGACGAAGTACTTAAAGTCAGGAAATGCACCGATTTCATCCTGGAAAGTAACGACTGCTCTGTTCCACCGTGAGCTCAACCAGTCTGGTAGTTTTTGTGCTATTTTTTGATTTTCCGTACAGTCATTCAGAACTTGTAATCCTTGTACATATGGCATGGCTGATTCCACACTGCTCAGAAAATCTGCAAACTCACGGAGCTCCACAGTTTCCTTTGGGCCAATTTTGTGCCATGAATGTATTTTATCACGATATGCCTTGCCAATCAGGAAAGGATTGCCAAACCTGTCTTCGAGCACATTCCAGGCAGCATTATAAGCTGTTTCTGAACCAACCAGAAAATGACCTTCTATAGCTCTTTTTGCTGCACCGCCAACATACTTGCGTAAGAAGAACAGTTTTTCTTGGTTTGGAAGGTTTTTCTGATTAATTAAAGTGGAAAAAGAAAGTTTCCAATCAGTGTACTTCAGGGGGTCTCCAGTGAAAACAGCAGGTTCAGGAATTGGGATTCGATTTGCAGCGATAGCTTCCGCTAATGTTTTAACCAATTCATTGGTTGTGTCATTTGGGTTGTTTGATGTAACTGTTTGAATGGGATTGGGCTGATAGTTCACAGTTGGTTTATTAAATGAAGATGCTTGTGGCACAGATACTGAGGTATAGATTGGTGAATGAGGAGTAAAGCTTTTAGTGACTGTAACCTGGTATGGTTGTTGAGCTACGGATTGGTTTGCTGGAAGGATTTGAGGATGCCTTTCTTGTGAGCTAAGAGGTTGAGAAAGTGCTGGATTTTGTGGTAGAGGAGGTGGCAACAGATGATCTTCTTCATCGTCACTATGAACAATTTCAGAATACACTTTCAGCCTTGCCTTTGCTGCGTTAAGCCTTTTAAGTTCCTCTAATCGTTCAACTTCTTTCTTCTTCTCCTCAACCTTCATCTTTCTAGCTGCACTTTCTGCAATAAACTGAGCTCTTTTCCTTGCATTCTCAGCCTCATTTTCAGCTTTCTGCCTAATTTCCTCTGCTTCTTTTTCAGCTGCCAACACTTGATCTGCCTGCTCAAGTCTCCAGATTTCTTCTTCACAGTCATGTTGAGCTTTCATTATTTTTAGGACTTCCTCTGTGGCAGCTGCTTCTGCTGCAGCTTGTCTAGCATCTTGTGACCTGTACGAATACTCCTTTGAATGTCTGGTCTTTCCTGAAGATAAAGAGACATTAGATGTTGTAGCTTCAAACACAGACTCCACATCGGGCCAGGATGATACTTCTGTACCATCATTGATGAGAAACTTCTGTGCCTTTTTATTTGCAACCTTGGTGAGCGATTGGCAGGTATCGTTGATTCTGCGGATTTCTGAATTTGGATGATCTGGATGTACAGTATCTCTTATTTTAAGATAAATATTATCTATCTCAACTTGGGTTGTATTTATTTTACTCACGATCTCCGTTAGCTCAGAATTATCATTGTACTTTATGGCCTTTTTCAGTCCATTTATTTTGTGCTTCCACCGCTCATAAGCTCTGTTGAACTGTGCCTTCAGATCCTTCAGTCGATCATCTGCTAAAGCTTGTCCTTTTTCAGTGAGCGTTCGTTTGCGTTCACTTTTCCTAATGCATGCAGAATGTGGGAGATCTTTAGTTTGAGACAGTGAGTCTAGTGCAGTTGATGTGACCGTCTCACTAGCTTGCTTATGTGACTCAACCTGAGCTTGCATTTCCTTTGTAGTTGCTTCTACTTGCTCATTAATATCAGCTTTCTCTTGTGAAGTACATATATTTTCAATATCACCCCTTTGTGACATACTGACTGTGTACTTTTAAGCCTATAAATGTACTAGAGTTGTAAACTAAAGGAATAAAATGAATTTCAGTAAACAGATAAAGGTTGAACAATTTTCTGCCGTTAACTTGAGCTTAACTTGTGTCTAAACTCTTATGTAAACAACTTAAAATAAATGTTAACAGCACATTTGGCAGAAACACAAATAAGAATCTCCTGTGATACAATTACCAGCAACCTCCACACAATCTTAATGCAAACACAATGCAATTATATGCATAACCTAGAGAATAAACCCTTAACATTATTATTTATTTATATATATTTTTTCCTAATCAAATTACTTGATGAGTGGATTTGCCTATAAAGTTACTTAGCTCTTGCAGTGTAGCCAAGTGGAAGGGAAGCTTCGCTGCTCCTTTAAGATGTACACGATGGAATGTGTGATGAAAAGTTCATGGCAGTTCTGGATCTTTATGCTACTTCTGACCCGTTTACTTTAACGTGTCCACCTTTTAAGCTTTGTCCATACTGCTTCTTTAATCTTCTCAACACAACGTTCACCAGATGACACGATGTATCTTCAACTGCAGACTGCTCCTCTACCCGACGTCCTCAACGGTTTGGCACACTTCGCTCTTCATATGGAGTCTTCACCTTTCCTTTGCGTGGTGAAGTGTTCTACTATGCCGCCCATCGAAGCACGCGAGGACTCCAGTTCTTTTTACAGATGGCGTTCTTTATTTGTGCCGTTATTGACTAGCAAAGCTAGCATCATGCAGCACCATAAACCACCGTAGAACTACAAACCGACAGAATAAACAATATGTTTACATAAATATAACACATAAATCACAAATAAAGGTTACAAAGTCTACTAACCACTTTGCCTGCTTGTAGCTCCGAATGGGAGGGGAGAAAACAAGTTTTGCTTGCTGTTAGTCTCTTATATTAATCTGAACGTATTCAGCATATATCAGCTTCCTTTCATACGTTAGAAAAAAAACGAGTGCACACGTTAAGCTAACCGGAAGTTGTTGAGAAAGGCAAGTGTGCCTTTCAAAATAAGAGCACGAGCTCCGGTTTCATCAAAAATAAAAAGAAGCATTTTACAATGATGTTTTCACAGCATTCACACTGTTTCTAGTCTTTTCTGTCGGGAACACAACACGCACCAACCTGGCTGCCTTTCATCCGGACCACAGAGAGCTTCCATCACACAGGGGTTCGTAGATCTGCACAATGGCGTTGGGTGGTTTTATGAATAATTGATAGCTTGTTAAACCATACAGTCAGACTGATTTTACAACCCAGACATCACACATTTCTCAGATACTTAATTAGGTTTTGCTACATAACATCCAAGCTTACATTCCATCATTTCATTCATTGTCTCAGTTATCCTGTCCAACCATCACCCATCATAATGTGTTCTATGTCATCATTAGTTTAGAAGTATAGTATTAATTCATTTTTATAAACTATATTCTTGACTCTTTCTGCATTATTATGAAGTGTGTGTGTTTCCCTGGCAGTCCAAAGAACCTAAGTTCATATTAAACCAAATATTCAAAGACCAGTAAGAAGAATGATAATTCATATTTATATGGAATATCAAAGTAATCACATCTATCACGTTGCAGCTGTACACAGCTCTCATCGTGGAAATGACCAATCTCAAGCTGTTTATACACACACACACACACACACACACACACACACACACACACACACACACACACACACAGTCTTGAGTAGTTATGTTGTCCTATATTGACTCTGAACTGGTCAGATTTTGAACAGAACCCAACTCATACGGCCAAAATATAGAACCAAATCCGAAATTATCTCAAAACCAAAATTGGACATTTTTTAAAACATCGCTTATTAAAACCTTTAAGAATTAAAACAGGATGTGGATGAATCTAATGGGTTGAAGAGTTTTGCAGTAAGTCGTAATATGTGGCTGTATTCTCCCAGAACAGAAATAATCCAGTTAACCATCTTTGACCAAGTTGCGGCTCATCCATGCACTGCTACAGTGACAAGGTGTGACCATAAATAGGATGAGCTGGATGCTGATGGAGGCCACACAGAAAAGTCAGTGAAGTTGTTTGATAAAATTGGAAACTAAGAGGCAAAGGACTAAAATTTAAGGATAAAGTTTAATCTGACCAGTTGCTTTAGGACCGGATCTAAATCAAGCCAGTTGGCATCAACTTGAGGGTACTTTGCTGTAACTAAAGGTGGCAAACCTCCCACACTGAGCTGATTAGACATGTCTTTCATAACTGGGCATTCCACTATGCATGAAATATTAAATCCATTGATTTGTTTGTCTTTTGTACCTTTCCTCCACACACACTAATTGTTCTTTTGATTCTATTTGCACCTGTAAATCTAATTTTATATTTAATATTCTCTTTTATTTAACTGAAAATTTAGTCTTCAGGGCTTTGGTGGCAGAGGAGTAAAACCTGCCCTGTCAGTCACAGTTGTTGTGTCCTTGGGCAAGACACTTCAACCTCTTTGCCTGCTGGTGGTGGTCGAAGGGACCACTTGGCAGCCCTGCTTCTGTCAGTGAGCATTAAGGCAGAAAACAATCCACAAAATCTGAGAGTTGTTGTTACTAATTAACATTCCACCTCCAATAAAAACGAAAAAACTAATAAAATAAAATAAAATAACAACTTTAAGATAAATAAATTAAAGGCCCAATCCTAACCTTAAGGTCAGTAACTGTGGCATTAAGGTTAGGATTGGGGTGAAGGGCAGGTTAAGTAGTTCACAAGTCGTGAACTCACCGTCTCACCACCGGCGTCGGATACCAATGCTCTGGGACGGTGCTTCATCAGTGTGTCCCTGATCATCATCTCCTGACAGGCTGGGACATCCCAAATTGTCATATATTGACACTTGGTCTTTGGGTGTAAGAATGTGTTGGTCAAACACAAAAGCAGTGTAAACCATCCGGAAACTTTCAAAATAAAAGTCACATGCAGGAAAATGTACAATGTTTCCTGTTAAAATCCCTGTAGCTGATGTAAACAGAACAGAGAATGAACCACAGACTTTTATTGAAAAATACAGCTGTCTTTCTCCATGCTTATTTTGTGTGGACTTCTGAAATGATGCATGATGTTGCAATTAGTCTTTCGCCAAGCTCCACCCCCCTTAGTTACTGTTGCTAAGCCTGACAAACACGTGGTCAAACACTGACCAGTGTGGCAGATTTCCACGATGGAAAGAATTAGACAAATGTGTGTGAGCAACATCTTTTGGAGCAATTTCTAAGCAATATCATCCAGACTGAGGCAAAAAGGGTTACGGTGTGCAGTGAAGGGATATATTCAAAATATAGAAATACGCAATGAAGTTGACACAACTACTATCGAGGCTAATACTTACCTGTCACAAGCTAACGTGTGTGTGTGTACACATGTTTTGTACATGAGCATCATAATATTTTAACTTATTTACAGTAACATATAAATGTAACATGTTTACATGCTTATCAACATTCATATTTATCTATTTGCCTATTGTTTTTTAGGCAACTTTCAACAGCCTCCAAGCTTCTCCCTAGCTGGGTCAGGACCTAGCATAGCATTTACGGAATTGGGGAACTCAGGAGCAGGTTTTCCATTGACAAAATGCTACATGAAAGATAAAAACTAAATTAGTTGTTGCTTGTTCAGGCGCTGTGTACGATTTTGTTGTAAACTGACGAGAAATAAAGTTGTGGAGCTTATGGTGCTTACACATTAGCGTTTGGTGGAGCTGGATGGCATGAGTTTGGTCTCAAACAGACTGTGTAGTGTTCACACATATATCCGAGGGACAGAGCCGATGCCATTGTATAAGCACCATTAGAGACCCAACAAACAGCAGCTAATGTAGCTAGCGTTAGCTAATATGTGAACTAATGTCTAAAGCTAAAGGGCTCGTTAAGCGTAACTTAGAGAGTAGGTTAACATTCTGGCAATGACTCCATGGTAATCATAACATTGGGCCATTTAGTTTTCTTGCCTCTAGATAGTAGATATAGTCAACACGGTAGATAGTTAGCTGTTACGCTTACCTTTGAGCAGACATATGCTTCGTGATGTCATAAACATTTAACTGGGAGTGGGGCCATCCACTCTGTTTGATCCATATCAGGCACCGCTCACGTTGTTTTCGGCTTTGGGAATGAATGGAACACAACTCCTCCAGACAATCTCTCATGGTATCGACTGTCTGACTTACAGACTCCGTGGGCACCATGCTATTCATCTTGCTAGAAGTTGTCGGACTTCCTCACACAGTAAAAGTTGCTATGATGTGTGATTGGACAATGGCCATTTTGGGGGTGGGGCCGGTGAAAGGTCAATTCTCCCATGATTTTGTGACATCATTGAATCGGCCATGTGGAATGATTTTGCTCCCGTTTCATGTCAGAATTGCTCCCGGTTTGGAATGAGCTCACAGGTAAATAGCCGCTATTTTGTTACATGGCCGCTTTCACGGCCGGTGGATAGAAAGGGTAACTACATCTGTCTGCATGTGGCTGTAGAAGGAGGGCTTAGCAAAAAATAAAATAAATTGACATATTGACATAGTCTTACCCTGTGCTGCAACAGAATATCAATTTTATGGATTTCTAAAAATAAAAAAATTAATCATACACAATTCCTGAAAGAGGGAAAAATCCAGATTGCAGATTTAATGCATTCAAGTTACTGCATGGAATATGTGGAAAAAAAAACTTTCTAAACCAGCTCTGAAGTTTCCCTTTTAGCTGTTGCCTGAGCCATAGAGCTGTGACATATCTGATTTCCAGTAAACACATTCAAAGACATACTCTTGAAAAAATAACAGAAACGTTTGAGTTGTGCATGTGCCTCCCATCTCTGTGCTTAGTGCACACTGGGGAGAATACTACCTTACAAAAGAGACATTTTCAAGGTGAAGAAAAGTGCTCTGTTTGTCATGCTACTGCCAGTCTGCAAAGGAAGAGAAAGCAAGGTTCTATAATCTCCCTGCAGGTGATGTAAAGCAGTGATGCATAATAAGCACCTCAAACCACAGCCATGTATGCATATGCTTGAATGCACATATTACTTATACAGAGCAAGTCAGTCAGCCTCTGCCTCCTTCACTCTGGGATGCTCTCCTAGTGAAAACTACTATGAAGCTGTTGCTGATTCTCTGCAGCTGTGGTGACTCAAACCTCGCAGCACACATGAGAACAATGGAACAAGCCCAAGTGTGAAAATTCACCTATTCACAAAATCTAATCTGAAGCTCATTTAACTGATGAACTCACTCACTCATTTCTGGAAATGCTTTGGAAGGACTTTCTAACCCTGGTCCTCGAGATCTCCAATCCAGCACGTTTTAGTTGTTTCCCTGCTCGGACACACCTGATTCGATTGTTTAATTTCCTGTTCAGCAGCTCATCAGGTGTGTTGATGCTGAGAGTCCCTTTGAATTTTAAAGGGTTTTTCAATTTAACACATAGTCCTGGCGGTGACTGTTCCGTTCAGTTTGGGTTGACTTCGAGGGTTGTTCGGGTGGTTGGCCGACGGCCTGTACAGGCCCGATAAGACAGTGGCCTGGCTTTGCTTCAATTCATCCATAATTGTTGCGGAGAATGGGGAGGAAAGGGGCAAGTAGGGCTGGAGCAGCTGTTCAGTCAGTGGGGGCTGCAAAGAGGGATCATGGGAGCTGCAGTGATGCATCAGTTTGTGACTGGGATGCACAGCTAAAGCAACAGAGGCTGGAGGAGGGTGACTTTGTGGTCCGTATCAGGGCGTTGGATGGTGCGCGTTTTGCTACCTCTAACCCATTGGCGGTGTCCAGAGAGCTGAGTGCCATGTTAGGGTATGTGTTAAACGCTATCGTGGCAGTTAGTGGGCTGTGTTGGTGGTGGTGTGTCAGACTAAGACTCGATGCCTCAAAGCGCTGCGGCTTGAGAAGTTTATGGGGTGGACGTGGTCGTTTCCGAGTCGAGGTCTGGTTGTATGGTTAAGGGTGTGGTGTATGGCATTTCAAACAAGATTTCTGAGTCAGAGGTGTTTTAATCCTTGAGTGGGGCAGCAGTGGTGGCTGTTCGGCATCTGGGGTTTAGTGCACGTGGGTCCACTCTGCTGCTGATTATTTTCAACGCGGTAGAGTTCTCTGCTTCTGTCCAGTTTGGTTTCCTTAGTTACACGGTCAGGATGTACAAGGAACCTCCTTTGCAGTGTTTTAGGTGAAAGGGCTGTTGTCATGTGGCTGGTGCCTGTGTGGTGGGGGTACGTTGTCGGAGGTGCGGGGGTGACCATGAGGGAAGGAGTTGTGATCTACCGCTCAGCTAATGTTAATATGGTGGAAACCATCAAGCAGCTTGTAGGGGTTGTGTGACATATATGGCGGTGGTGGAGGTGGGGAAGGTTCATGCTGAGCATAAGGTGTCTTATGCTGAGGCGTTGCATCGTGCTGGGGTACGGTATGGTGGTGTATCC